AGTAGTAGATTCTAAGTAGAATAGTCTATTACAATTTCTAATTACAGTTCTATACAGTGCTGCACTATCGTGCGCAGTTGTAGTTTTAGTAAGGTCTTAGCAAAAGTGCGTTACTTGCTTAAGTGCGTTACTCGCTTGTAAACTACGTTAGTAGAAGAAAGTTTTTAACTTATAACTCTAAAAGAGTTTAAAACGCGTAGTAATAAAAAAAAAGTAAAGAAAAGAGTACGCGTTAAAGTAAGTAAACTATTATAAAAACGCTGTAGACGCTGTAGTAAGGCTAGTTATAACTTACGCATATATAAGTAAGATATAGTAGTAGATTCTAAGTAGAATAGTTTATTATAATTTTTAATTATAGTTCTATATAGTGCTACTCTATTATGCGTAGTTGTAGTTTTAGTAGGGTCTTAGCAAAAGTGCGTTACTCGCTTAGGTGCGTCACTCGCTTGTGAACTACGTTAGGCTTTTTATCTAGTCGCAGAACTAGCTTTAGAGCGTAAGAACAAGATAGTGCTAGGCGTTGCTACGCATCTCTTCTAAGTCTTACCAGATAAATAAAGCTGCTATAAGATAGTTACGCAAAGGGCGTTATTAGATTGTATATTGTTTACATACCTGTCTCAATGGATACAATAGCTCGATTAGTCCTCTACAGATCTCTCCTTGAGCTACTTGACTTCTTATAGTGTCTTCTCGACCTCTCTTCGCTATTCCCGCTCCTAGAAGGTTGCGATGTTGTAGATCGTCCTGAGGGCCTTGGCACATCGAGTGTTGGCGTAGGACCAGTAGGAGATGAAGATAAGTTTCGCGAAGGAGATGCGCCGCGACCGGCTACGTTTTCGACACAGGCTTTGCGATGCCGTCGTTCGCGCATGAGTAGTGAAGTCGCTATCAAACTGTCGACGTCTTCCTGCATCATCATTGTTAGACAGGACACATGTGAGGAGGGTGGACATACATATGTAAGGTCTACGCCAAACCGATAATACTGGCCATCTATTTGTCCTTTGTACGCCAGGTCAAGCTCATCGATTGCGTCTCTCTCCACCAAGCCTATACCCACAGCTGCGTACTCATCATCCATGTCGCCTGCATGAACGGGTGCGCCAGTCTGGTCGAGAGGCTTTCCGAGTTGCGGCATATAATTTCGGCAGGAGAAATCCACCGCAATAGGAGTTCGTCCCAAGAACCAGGTCTTTCCACCACTGGAGCCACGCATCCATAACGGTTGCCAGTCGTGAGCCTTCAGGACTTGATACAGCTCGCTAAGACAAGGGAGGAAGGGTTTTGTGAAGCAAAGTGTGCCGTGAATGGACGTGCGACTTGGCGCGCCATCGGTGCGGGAGACTGAAATCCCGAGGGAGGGAAATTTTGGATTCCAAGTTTGCTCTCGGTCCGCGAGCGTCGATATCTGGAGACATGTACGTGTTGGTTCTGCTTTCTCCATCCTCTCCGCTTTGGCTTCGTCTTGCTTTTTCTCGTTGGCGTACCATTCCTCCTCTTTCATCTTGTACATCTCGTTCATCTTGTCGAGTTCTCTTTGCGTTGCACGCCAGCGATCTTCCAGTTTCAGCTGGGTTTCCGCATTTTGTTTGGCCTCTTTTTCAAGATGCTCCCGTAAAGACTTTACGCGTTTTTCGTGTTCATTGATCAGCTCGAGTTCCAATTGTTTCTTCAGTGCGATGGACGTCGAGTCGTGTTCCTTCTTCATCGCTTCGACCTGATCCTGCATAGATTTTAGGGCGTATTGGTGTTGCTTTTCGATCGCTATCTCCATTCGCTCTCTGTAAGCAAATTCTTTCGTGTACGAGGCTTCTGTTCTGCGGATTGTCGATTCGAGTCGTTCAATGTCCTTCGTCAGGGTTTCATTGCGATGTGTTTGGTAGGCTCTTTCTTGCTCAGTCCTCTCGTAATGTGCGTACGGAACGTCAGGCGGGAACGGTCGACTGGCACCAGAGTTCATGGGATCACCTGTCCTTGAGCTCCGTAGAGGGCTCGGACCACGTCTACGTGGTCCGTATCCAGGTGTCTCGTCTCGGTCCAGTGGGTCATGTACTTCGCAAATTACACAATCGCCCGTGGTACGACCGTGTCTACAGCTAAAGTCATCATATGGGTTGTCTGCGAGATCATCGTAATCAAACCCGTTGGTATAGACATTGCGAGGGCCTCTAGGCATGGACCGCTCTTCCTCAGCTGCTATACGGGAGATGTGCGACCGTAGTCTCCTGCTCCAGGATGGATCCGGATCGACCATCGTTGCCTCTGAATCGGAAGCGTCATGCTCCATGTTGCCTGTAGTCGGCTCCACTTTTGTCCATTGGAGTAACAGCCTGTCTGCTGTGCGTGGAACTTCCACGTCTTGCTGCTGGATTAAATTTGGGCACTCTGTGTTTCCTTGACTTTTTTCATCCAAAAAAACCAGGCGATATAACCAAGTAGCTGCATCGTCTGGAGAAGCATATCGTATCTCGCAGGTTAGGTCTGTTCTTTGTTGCTTGTGACCGTAGTATTCTTTTTCACGCCGAGCTCTTGCGTCGTCAGCTAGAGTTGCTCGATAATCACGGCTTCCTGCCCGCGCCAAAGGCGTGCTGTGATTAATGCTGTTCGAAGTTGCGCTGCTTTTGGGGTTTAGTCCGTCTAGAAGGTCCACGAATCGATCTGCATCTTCGTTACTGCCAGCTGCATCACTGCACTCAGTATCGTCACTATCGTCTGTGTACTTGTCTCTTTCCTCAGAGTTGTATTCTCTGTTCGGATCCTCTTGAGTATGCTCTTTGCGCAGACCAGGTAGGATCTGAAACCTCGTCTCCTTCTTCAGCTGTCTTTCTTCACGCTTGCCATCTCCCTGGTTTATTCGAGCCGGCTTCTCAGGATTGTGGTAATACGCGGGTACAAGGGCCGTAGAAGTAGGCTCTCCTCCGTCTTTCTTGCTGTCGCCATCGTCCAAACGTACCGTGTCAATCTCTTCCTCCTTTTCCGAGTCCCAGTCTACAAAGGAGGGTCGTTGAGGATCGACATGGGAGCCTACAGAAGTCTTGCTGTCGACTTCACCCTTCGGCGTTTTTGCGGTCGATTCATGCGGTCTTGTACTTGGTCTCACAGACGACGGTTGAGGTATGGGCGCAACGTGATCCGCACCAATGTCCTTGGAACCAGGTGTCGACTCCGGCCACCCACAAGTCGGTTCGGATCGAGGTGTTGCTGGAGGCGGGGAACTCCGCCCTCGTCTCCGTCTTGAATGATTGGGCAGGGGAACTAATGGTTCGTAAGGAGAGAAACTATCTATGTCTGACCTCCCTCTGGGATATCGACGTGGTACATCAGGCCGTGGTGCTGGCGTTTGATCGATCCCTAATGTTTGCTCCCGCCGAATCCGTTTAATGGAGTCTTGATTGGCGAAGAGCAGGTTCTCAAGCAACTGTCGAATCTCACCGACGTCGGTCTTTGAAGCCAACTCCTTAGATCTGTACGCGTAGCGTTAGCACGTTCAAGCTCCCGTCTTTGAGTAGCTACGAATGAAACATACATCTTCAGTTGCTTCTTGGCCGCCGCCAATTGAACTGTAGTAAGCATAACGCTCACAGAGTTCTTGAACCCTTCAATCTGCGCGAGTAAGTTTTTCGTTTTGGGACTCTTAAACAGCAACTCCACCCGGTAAAACGAACTCGTGCTGTTCTTCGTCAAGTCTTTGATTTGCCTGTGCAAGCCGTGAATTTTCGACACTGTCCCTCGAATATCCTTGATAAGCCGCGATTTACAAACATCGATGTACTCCGCCAACGCGCTGCGCAGGTATCGCAGCACAGAAGCCAGGAGTGAGAGTTCCCCCGCCATCTCCGAAACTTCTTTGGGGGCGTGTTTTACGGTATGGGCAATTTCGTAGATCATCTTAGAAATGGCGACGCCGGCTGTAGCCACGCCAGCGATGCTGGCGAGAATTGATAGTGGTTCCGCCATGTCTGTGGATTGTGCGGACGGTTCGGTGGTCAGGCTGCAAGAGTTGGGGACAATGGATCTCAGCTCGCAGATGTGTTTGAGAGCAACCAAGCTGAGTCATACCTTATCTGGCGTCTCGCTGCACTTGTGGTGGCTGGTGCATCTTGGCGTTCGTAATGGTTTGGTGTCCTGCGGCAAGGCGCACTGGAGCGGATTGGTTCGGTAACGCTTCTCAGCTGAACTCTTGCATGATGAAAGTCAACCTTGTAGTCTCGCAAGACTGCACAATATATCTTTGCAATCGTTGTTGTCGGAATGTACCGCGTATACAACTCGAATGGGAAGGGGAAGATGCGAAAGTCAGGGAAAGCCCAGATCTTCATTGACTGAACTATCCGTACTCGACCACATCGCTACACATCGCATATTTTTCCAGGTCTGAAGAACAGCCCAAGCAGTTCAATCGCTGGAACGCTATAGCCGCTTTTCAATTGAACCACGCGCTTGCGGTGTATCGTCATGAGATTGAAAAGATTACACGAAGAAATGTCGCTACTGTGTTTGCAAGCTCAGCGTTGACTGCCGTTTACTTTGTCCGAACCTCGATCCTGGATTTCGAGAACTTAGAAGCTACTTTCCCTTTGAGTGCTGCTCATGCATCTGAGATGGCCGGCGGAATGGTATCTTGTATCGTTAGAGCAATGTGGGGACTCCGGGGACCACTAGAGGTTCTTATGAAAGGTTGCAGCTGGATAGCTGACAGCAGTATACAACCCGTGGCATCAAGGAAAGTATGGCCAAAGAGGCGCAAGCCAGCGTCACCACTTGCCTGCGATGAAGACGAAAGGTTACGGCGTATCACGGACTTGTGGCTTCAAACCGACCGGCAATATGGTCTCCACTCGCAGTACCTCAGCCAAGCCTTGGATCAACCCCGCGGAACATACGCTCTTAACTCATAACTCCTTCAGTTGGGAGCTTCCAGAGCCTGTCATGGAACTGATGTTCTGCTCGATCGCGGTGCGATGTTCTCGTGGGTCATGCGTGTTCCTCGTGAATACATTCAGCTCGTCGAAGCCCAAGACCGCGATGCGCTGGTTATTCTAGCGCACTTCGCCGTATTGCTTATCCGAGCAAATACAGTATGGTGGCTTGAGGGCCTAGATACAAATCTTCCAAGGGCTGTAGTTGTAGCGTTGGGATCAGAGCACCGTAAGTAAATTGAATGGCCAGCATATCATGCTGCTGTATGTCTGCCATAGGATGGATCTATGTAGCACAGTATCGATGCCATTGTAGCCTCTACAAACCACAGCCATGCGGTTTACTGGCGATACTCGCTTCTGTCGCACTGGGTTTCTTCTCATGTATTCTGAGCTTATATGCAACAGTAACGACAAGTGGGACGAAGAGCGACTAGCTGGGCATATAAGTATAGCATCATGAAATAAACTTGACGTATGTAGAACGGAATCTTCCCATCCTTGAGCTGCCTTATTCGAGGTTGTTTGTTGCAGTCACCGCTCAGCGAGTTGCTCGTCCCCCAAGCCCTTGGAGATGTGCCTGACGATGAGGAAATACAAAGAGTAAACGCTGTTGGGAACGCGGATCGAGAAACATAGCAGACTCGTAATCTAGCCTATGGTCCTCCGGGCTTTAGCGAATTGTATTAGACCAGTGGAGGGTTATGCATCACATGAATTGATATCGACGCCTCACAAGCAAAGGTAAGGCCGTGGAATGCGGAAGAGGATTCGCAATAGGAGATCGCTTGTCCCCGTAGCATAGGTAATCTTTCAGTGCGTAGCGACAATTTGTGACTTGGTCGAGCAATGCTCATAAAATACATCTGATTGATAGACATTAGAGGAAAAGCTTGGTTCTGATTTTGGAGTACTCGTATTCTGTGGTGGCGGGAAGGCGCAGTTGTGTGGTGCAGCAACTGGGACGGCACATCAAAGCCCTGAACGTCGCGTACTTTCAGCGAGCAGAGCATGGCTACTAACAGATCACATGCTCGTTGGTCATGCTTCTGCTGTGGAGCAGTGGGTGAGGCATCAGGTTGCGTGAAATTATTGCTGGTTGATAGAACACACTTCCGTTGTTCCATTTGCTGTCATACTACATTGATATCAAATAGCACTGGTATCCTAAATAAAACTCTCGTCATTCCGACCCTTCGTGAGTCAATGGGGTCGGATTACCCTCTAGTAAAACTCCTAGTAAGAGACCCATAGATGCCTAGCTCTCAAATAGCGCCGTTGTAAATGTCCCTCAGAATTGGTCTGCCATCCAAAATGCTCCGTTTGCCTGCTGTGAAAACCTTCCCAGGCACTCTCTTTACCTCGGGACTACCACTTGCACTCTTGTTATCGTTCCTTCTCTTAGGAATTCTAGCGTTGACTTTTTCAGGCTTTGCTGTAAGATCGTCCAGTGCCTTGCGTTTCTCCGACGGACTAGGTGTTAGACTGGGACTCTTCGTGACATTGCTAGAAAGCAAAGAAGAGCATGACTGCTTCACTGGTGTTTTGCCGGTTTGTGTAACACCTTCTTCGAAGGCATGCGACTCCACCATGCTGGGCTGGAGATCGAGTACCCAGTCTTTCTCTCGGCAGAGGCCAACCATATCGCGCAACAGTTCGTTGCTCGATAACGTTTTTTCGCTACCGAGAATGATAAGTTTCGATCGCGCGCGGGTCAGAGCGACGTTGACACGTCTGCGGTCCTTCAAGAGATCACCAACTGTGCCGTTTTCGTTGCTTCGTACGCTAGATACGATGACGACTTCCTTATCGCGGCCTTGAAACTTATCTGCAGTATGTAGCTCGACTCCTAAGCACCCCTGTCCGCTTACGGACGGAGCAGCAAGTTCGAATGACTGCGTTTGGGTGTATGCGGATGACAGGCTTTGTCGGAGCAACGCGAGCTGTGAACGATAGAAAGCAATTATGCCAATCTCCCCAGCAGGGACACCAAGGCTGAGAAGAGACACTGTAAGCTGTGTGACTAGCCGCACTTCAAGAGTATTAGTGATGCGGGATCCAGATTGCGTTTCAAGGGTCGAAGAAATGAGATCAGTGTTGATAAAGATGACTGGGCGATCTGGTGACAAGGAACGAGAAAGCCAACAGTCTGCAGCATCAGGACCAGTGCATGCCTGTGCCGCGTTGTATCGTGATTGATATGGCTTGTGGTGGTAGGCATTGAGACCTCCGGGTTTGGGAAGTGCCAGCTTGCGTGAAGCGACAGTGGTCGTGCCACATTTCAGCCGTCCTGAATAGATGAATGTGTTTGACAACAACATGACGTCAGCACACATCCGGTATTGATGCTCCAAACTGACGACGGCTTGTGGATGAGCTTCACAAAGGAGCTTGAACAGTGAAACATCCAGTCCGCCTTCCATAGCTTCTTTGTTCTGCACCAGCGGAGGTAGCTGGTAGTGGTCGCCTACTAAAATGAACTTCTGAGCCATGCGGATAGGTCCCAAACAAACAGGGAGGGTAATTTGGGATGCTTCATCGACAATACAGTAGTCGAAGACGCGGCGGTTGAACAGGGGATGATTGATGGTGAGACACGTTGTAGCCACGACAGGCGGCTGCATCCACGATCGTTCGAGCTCTTCGAGACTGTCTTTTGATTCGGCAGCAAGAGTAGCGAATTCTCTGACCTCAGGATGAATCTTCTTGGCAGCACCGAGGCGCAATATGCCAATCCGGGCATCACGGATCTTGAGGAGGATATTGTCGACGGCGGTGTGGGTATACGAAGTAAGCAGAACGCTCTTACCCTTCGCAACCAGTGTACGAATGATGTGCGCGATAGTGGTGGTTTTGCCAGTCCCTGGCATACCCAACACAAGAGCGTAATCTTTTGCGGACATGACTTTTGCGACAGCAGCACGCTGATCAGAGTTCATAGACATCTGTGACGATTGAGGCAGTGAGATCGCATCTGGCATAGGCCTGAATGCAGGAGCCCGCCCATCCACGATCAGCGCACGGAGGTCATGAGCCTTGTAGACGCTGTTATCCATGATCTGGATCAAATTGTTGCGAGCTGCAGCCATGCCGTTGCTGAACTCATCTTTGTCTAGGCGGTACAATACCGGCTCCTCATCAGCTTCGTATTCAGTGATTGTCTTGCCCACCTTGGCCACTTCCATGATACCGGCAAATGTTTGATTGTTTTGTGAATGGAATCCCGGCAACTTGGTTCGGGAATTGTGCAGGCGTCTATCAACAGCCACTGTGATGCGACGTTTCTTAACGTTCGTTACATAGCCATTGGCCAACGCGAAATGACCTTGCTCATCCGACACTACGACAGGCTCTCCGATGATGAGCTGAGATTCAGCGAAGGAGAAGCCGGGAGCTGGCTGTTGTTTTATGAACGTGTAGTTGTAGCGATTGATCTTTTGGCCAGTCTTGTCCTCATGTCCGGACCCAGGTTCCAGAATTACGTTTGAGAAGCAGCGACCCAGCTTTTCACGTTCTGTACTCAGCATGGTCCACAGCTCTCGTCGGAACTTCATCATATCCGTCTCCTCTTTCGTTAATAAAGTGTCCCACTTCTTCATGAACTCCTGATGGGAAGGCTGAAGGGGCTTGACGAGCTCGTCGTATTTTTCTTTCGCCTTCTTGTTCAGCATCTCACCCTTCCCATCTTCAACGAGATTATGGTAAAGAAAGCAAGGCTCCTGCGCGTAGCACTTTTGACACTTGAAGTCCTCTTTCAAAATTGGAGGCAGCTCAATGCGGTCTCGGACGAAGCAGGCCAGCTCGTTGCGCTTAATGATCATATGAATGATGTCGTTGCGAATAGCGGGAATCCGACTAATCTCCGAAGTCTCCAGATAATAGAGGATACCGTAAGCAATATCAACATCTATAAACGTCAGCTAGGAATGCATGTGGTTGTCAGGGACATACCATATCGATCAGACAACAACAAGTTATACAAGGCGGTCTGTGCGATGTGTGCAGCATTCGAGGAGTTCTTGCCAGTTTTGACCTCAA